CTTTAAGTTTTTAAGCAGGTTTTAATTTGACATTTTATGTTCATTTTTTTACAATTTTTAATCATTAGATATATGCTTCAATTCAAGATCATCTTTACATATCTAATTTTAAAGTATATGCATTTGGAAATACATAATTTTGCCATAATATGTTGGCTCAAATAATAGTAAATCATACATTTATTATTATTTCTTTTTGTGTAGTGTTAGGGATTGAATCCAAGGGTGCAATAGCATGGACTAGATCCCCAGACCTTTAGTATTTTTTGAGATAAGGTCTGGGAAAGCTGCCAAGCAGGACTTGAGCTTACCACCCTCCTGTCTCACTATAATTATGTCTCTTTTTAACAGAATAGTTATGAGAATTTTATATTAGAGAGGATTCACAATTATTATAGTCATTTGTTATTATTTAAATAGGTAAATAATGAAAATATGGAAGGGCTGGGGATATAGCTCAGTGGTACAGTACCTTGTCCAGCAAACATGCAAGGTCCTGAGTTTGATTCCAGGTGCAAAAAGAATTTTTAAAAAGGAAATATGGAATATTTTGTTATTTAGGAATTATCTTTTGTCATCATATCCTGAAGATTAGTATTTTGGGGGACTTTGCAGATACTAGGTCTTTTTGGAATTTCTTGACAGATCTTATCATTCAGAAAAATATATACATTTTCAAAGAAATTAATGGGAGAAATTCTCACATGGAAACATTACCAGGAGCTACACTAAGCTCATTGCCATGCATTATCTCCTTTGATTCTCACAGTAACCACGGATGCAGAGCATTTTGGCAGCTCCGTATTATAAATGAGAAAGCTAAAGGGCCGATGAGATAGCTCAGCAGACTGAGCGCCTGCTTTGGCAAGTGCAGGGACCAGGGTTCAAGACCAGGTTTGATCTCTGGTCCCACATGCCGCTCCATCCCTGTCCCCCGGGGCACACTGAGCTGGCAACCCAGTCTGGACATGGTGCTGCACTCCTGTAATCCCAGTGCTAGGGAGGCTGAAAACAGGAGGATCAATATGAGTCCAAGCTGTGCAGGGAGACCCTGCACCAAATATATACATGAAAAACAAAACAAAACAAAACAACCAAGAGATATAGGATATAGATGAAGAGTGAGTAACACCGTCACAACCACATACGTAATCTGTAAGAGGCTGTGCAGACTTAAATCCCAGCTGATTGATTCTGCATCATGTGCTCTTTGCTCATACACCATGGAGCAGGCAGCCAGGACTGAGATTCTGGAACTCATGAGAAGGAATGGAAAAAAATATTCTTCCATTGGTCACTTTCTAATTCTGGAGGGCATTCTAACCAGGCTTACAGCTTGCACCAGGTACAATGCTGCTGTGAACTAAAGCAGTGGGATTTGGTGTTCTTGGAGCTTTCCAAACTGTAATTCCACACAGTTGAACTTACCCTGTTCTTTGAAAGAAAGCAGGTCAAAAGAACATTTATTCTCTTTACTTCATTTCAGCAAATCACTTCTGTCTCAGAGTAGGCCCAGTGAAGTGACAGCTTGAGGAATTAGCCCAGCCAAAGTCAGGAAAAGCTGTGCTCTGTGGCTGCGAAACTGGTGTTTGCTGAAGAGTTGCTGCCATCTTGCTTTGTGTTGTCCACATAAACATCCCTGTTTTTTCTGGTTAATTCTCTCTTATCGATGTGCCTGTTTCATTCACTGATTACATTTTGCGTCAGTTCCTTCATGGTATGTCAACCTCATTTAATCACACTGTCTTATAGCAACTTGCACATGGTTCTTGATCTACAGAAATAAGGAGACAAAAATGAAAAATAAAATTTTAATGCAGAAATTTATCATTTACGTCTTTATAATAGCAGAATACTGCTTAGAACAGCAGCTTAAAATTTCCCAAATTGTCTCATTGAAGATGTCAGCAAAATTACTGGTTTGCTGTGAGCTGATCAAATTTTTAGAATTTGAGGGTTCCAGGAAAAAAGAAAAAGAAAACAATAGTATGTGGAATTGTAGTGTTAGCTGGCCAAAGATTATGGTTCTCTACTGTGATGATAGTAGGATGTGTGCCGAGGAGGGTGTTAGGCAGATGGCTTAGTCTGTAGTATTAACAACACTGGAACCCTGCCTCATTAGAAAATATCAGAAAATGGGCTGGGGAGATGGCTCAATGGAATAAGCACTTCCCTGGAAAGTGCAAGGGCCTGAGTTCAATCCCCAGTTCCGCAAAAAAAAAAAAAAAGAAAAAAGAAAAAAGAAACAAAATATCCCCTAGATTCACTATATAGAAAAACACTTCCAATGTCTGTTGGAAAGCCAAGTGTACATATTGTAATTTTGAGCTTTGGATTTGGACAGATCTAATTTCATAAACTGCTTCTATCTATGTACTGTAGAATCTTGAACAAATTGCCTAGCTACTCTGAGATTTCTAATCTTTGAAATGTAATGAATATAGAACTATTATTGTTCTTGTAATAAAGATTAAATGAGGCCCCTTTTAAGCTTTTAGTATAGTGTATGTGACAGTAAAAAGAAGGGAGCGCTTCTGATGGATTGATCATCTTTACTGAGCTCTTTTCTGTGTGCTGGGTAATTTCAGAGTATGGCGATGCAATAATAAAACAAACTTTTCCTTACCTGGATGAGGGAAGAAGGCAAGCAGTTGTAGTGAGTGGATGAAGTTCCTGATAGGGTTGGACAATACGGGGAGCTAGAGGAGTGTGTATGAGTGTTGTCTAGTGAGGGTCTGGGAAATCAAACAGAATACAGAGTAAACCCAGGAGCAGAGAAACCCATTGCTCCCACTGGGGCTTCCCAACACTGATAGCCCCAGAGTTTTCTGCTTTTTTAAGGAAAAAGAATCACTACACAAAGGCAAATCAGCTAACCATTAAGTATGTTGACTTTGATGTGTACAATACAATTCAAATGTCCAACATTCTGAAACATCATGCCTTGGATATGTAAGAGATCCATGTAATATGGGTTTAACCTTTTAAATGCTATCATTACAAAAAGCAAAAGATAAAAGCTCCCCCTTTCCTGCTCTGTGTATTGAAGTTAACTGAAATGTGTGTTTGATGAGTGTTTGATGATGTAGTCATTCATGAATTCAGTGCATTCTGTTATCTTAGAAGGCTTAGGATGGCCCTCAGGGCAGTGTTGTGTGGTAACTCCTTCAGTGAATTCACTCAGCTACTTGGGCCAGTCTGAATCAGTGGTCTTTTCCTTCCCATGTTCTGCTGATTTCCCAGGCACTCATTAAAGGGCCTTCCTGTGTCCTCCTCAGCACTCTGAATTCTCTGGCTCTGAGTGGCACTTAGCCTCTGTGTTATAATTGCTGCCTTCTTGTCTCATTAAGGTTTGTCCTGTTCACCGTTGTATCACAATCTTCAAAAATTGCCCAGCATAGGGGGCTGGGGAGATAGCTCAGTGGAATAACTGTGTGGCTGGCAAGCACAAGGTCCTGAGTTCAATCCCTGGTACCACACACACACACAAAAAAAATACCCAGCATAAAAGATAGTACTCAACACATATTTTATATTAAGCAAAGGAACTGATAAAGGCATGTATGTTCTGTCCAGATCTGTTTTTATTGACCCCTTTCTGCTTCTGGCTTTGATCTAGGTAAAGATGAACACTGCAAACAGAATCCAAATAACTAACTCTTAGTTCCATATAAAAATAAGAACCCAGAATTGGGCAGTTCCAAGTGTGGCCCCAGACATGCTTGTAGTACATGCCAGATTTGTGCCATTGGGAGACTTTCCTCCTTGTAAGTAAACATGCAGCTATGTGGAGTAACTGAGAGGATAGCGTACACAATCCCTCCTGCCACAGGAAGGTAGTAAGACCAGAGTCAAGAGGTGAGGTAGCCATCTATCCAGTTCCAATTTCTAATGAGCAGCTGTATAATCTTATTACTCATCTAAAGCTTTGGTCTCTCTGTTCAAGAGGATTAATAATAACACTACTTCACAAGGTCACTGTAAAGATTGGTATAACATATATAAAAGCTTACCTGGTGCTTGATGCATATTCATAATCGTTAGCTCTGCTTCTTATTATGGCTGCAAGTCATTTACATTTTATAGGAATAATCAAGCTGCTTGTATTGATGAATTATTAAAAAGTAAACTATAAAAGTGTTTCTTGGTCATGTGTGGTCTTGAAAATCCACTGGTCCAGCCTCCTGATGTGGGGAACGTAACTGACTGACAGGCCCAGCCACCTCCACTCCAGATCCACCTCTGCTCTGCCAAGGCCCCTCTCCTTGGGGGTCACGGCTCCTGCTGCCAGGCGTGGGGGCTCCGTTAATGAACGACCGTGGCCCACAGATTCCCTTTGTGTCTCGTGGCATGAGACTGTCCCTCTCCAGACTTCCTTCTTCTCTTGCCTTCAGAAGTCAGACCTGCGTCACAGTCCGCAGACCTCCCTCTTCTTTTGGTTTTCTTTGCATTTCTTTTACTGATGTTTTCTATGCAAAATGTCATACTTACTTTACTATGTGCCTCTTGGAAAATCTGAGCAAATGTATCAGGCGTAATAATTGTTGGAAGAGAGTGACAGTTTATATCATAGAGCACAGAGCTGTCTTTTTCTCTACCAAGTTTAAGGTGGATATTATTATAGAACCCAATGTGTCCTTTATGTTACTGCATTTCTTTAAAATTAAAAATTTCATGTTACTGATTATAAATTCTTTGGGATACAAATTAGCTACCTTTGCCTCATAGAGGGCCACTAACATTTAAGAAATAACATGCATATTGAATTTTAAGATTGGCCTTATTAAGGGCAGTCCTTAATAATTAAGTTCCACACATTTAAAATGTTAAAGTGATTTTAGTCTTTAACATTGATGAACCAAAGATTTCTTCCTCCCCCCAAAACAAGAAAATGAGTAAGTCTTCAGTATACCAATTTATTTCTGTAGTCTAATGTTCTGCCGATTGCATTGGTTTTCTTATTCGGTCCGTCAAACCCTCACATGATTGTTTTGCAACAGACCAGGTCCAGGGAACAGTCACCATCCGGAACATCAGCGCTCTGTCTTCAGGTTTGTACCAGTGTGTGGCTTCCAATGCCATCGGGACCAGCACCTGTCTCTTGGATCTCCAGGTGATTTCACGTAAGTATATGGAATTACAATGACAATTCTAGGTGTGAAACCCTAAGATCTTTTTTTTTTCATTCTTTTTTTTTCCAATAATTTTATTGAGAAACAAATAGCAGTGAGACAGTTTCAAATCTAATTAGTAGGACAGTTTCAATAATTAACACATTGCATATTGTTGTCTTCGATGGTTGCACCAGTCTACATAAGATCTTTGTTAAGCAAATAGTTCTGTGTAATCGTTTACAGATGCACAATAGTTTTCAGGGTTTCTAAAGTTTCAGTAGCAATTGTTTTTTTTTTTTTAAATGGATTTAGTACAGGGTCTATAGAGTCTCAGTACATAGATTGGACCTGTAGTGATCCTTCCTGTTTTTCAGCCTCCCAAGCACTGGGATTACAGGCGTGCACCACCATGTCCAGTCTCAATTGCCCTCTCAGTGCACCCTGGGGGCAGGGCCAGTACAGCAGGATGAGATCAAACCCCTGGCACCTGCATCTGTTAAGCAGGTGCTTTAATCCACTGAGATATCTGGCTGGGCCTTCTTTTGTTTTTAATCGATGTTTTATTATAATATTTAATCAGTGTAATAAATCTGTGTATTTTTTAAGCTTCAGCATTATGATAGATTTGTGACAAAATATCTTTCTCTTCAAGATTATTAGACTCAAACCTGACTTAATTTCATAGTATTCTAACCATTGTAATAGCTTTTTAGTGATCTTATAGCTATAGAAAGATCTTCAGAGAGATTTCCCTAATACCCCTTATCTGACTTATTGTTGAGTGGTTATAAATGGTGCTTACACTTTCTTTTTAGATGAGAATTCTGGGATATTAGAATTCTGGTTGTAGAAGGGATGCTGTGTCTGGAGTGAGGCAGTGAGCCATAGCGAGGGCCGAGGCTCACTCAAGGCTCTCAGGCAGGTTAGACAGGCACTAACTTCCTCTGCTCCAGCTGTTGCTCTCCTGAGGCTACGAGAGCTGTTTCATGGTTTATTCATTCAGTAGATGTGGAGACCCCAGTACTGCCTAATACGGATGTGATATGGTCAGCAGTTTCATACATATAAGCAGGGTTACATATGTTTATTTAGATGCATGGGTATGAAAATCTTCTTTCTCCTTTCTTTAAATCTACCTTAAATATATTTTGCAGCCCAGCCCAGGAGCATTGGACTTATAGCTGGAGCCGTTGGCACTGGTGCAGTTATTGTCATTTTTTGCATTGCACTGATTTTAGGGGCATTCTTTTACTGGAGAAGCAAAAACAAAGAGGAGGAGGAAGAAGAAATTCCTAATGAAATAAGGTTTGTATGCCGGATAATTGGCTCTGCATAGCCAGTGCATATTTCTGTTCATTTTGGCAGTCAAGGATGCTCTGCTAGTCTTATAACTGTGATGCGAAGGCAATCAAAGTGGCCAAATGATACTTTGATGTGTTATATTGCTTTTTCTCCCAGTAATGTTTATCTGTATTCAGGGAGTCATAAAAACCCCCACATGTGCCTGAGTAGAAAGAGACAAATGCAGAGTTCCACTGCTTCTTCATAACTCTAGAGTGTTTGGGGTTAGTGACTCCCACAATCAGAAATTTAGTTTAAAATATGTATGGCCTTTATAATCAGACTGTACAATAAAAAGAGCATTCCATGTTCCTTTACACAGCTATGTGGCTTGATGTAATTTTTCATTGTTGTAACAAAATGCCTGAGGCTGGCTACCTTGTAAACAAAACAGGCTTATTTTAACTCATAATTCTAAGGGGGGCAAAGTCTAGGTAGTGTTGATGGTCCTCTTCCTGGCAATCTGGAAGTAACAGACACCATCAAAAAAGGCAGGCAGTAAATGTGTCTCTTTGGGTTCTCTCTTTTTTATAAAGCTGCCGAAATTCATGGGTGCTCTCCCCTGATGACCTTAGCTAATCCTAATCACTTTTCAAGGCCCTACTTCTGAGTACCAGAGTTCATGATGAAGTTGTTGCCCTCAGTGAACCTCCCAGTGGGATCAGACTTCAATGCCAGACTCTTGGAGGCATTGGAACTACAGACAAATCATGGAGAGTTCAGATAAGAACAGGAATGCTTCCAGAAAAACTGTCAGGATGATCTTTAAAGAAAAAATGAATCTTGGAGTATTGCAGAGAGTTGAGGCTTCAAGTCTCTCATGGCCTTTGCAAATGCTCCACTGATTTCAGCCTCTGCATCGTGCTGTGTGCAGCCTTTCAAACTTTCTGGCCCTCACCCGCTGCCCGCCTCTTCTCTGCCACCCCCGGCTCACTCCGTGCTCCAGTCTGTTCTGCATTCTTCTTCGTCTTGGGGATCTTTGCTCAGTTTAAGGCTTTCTTTGCCTTTCCTTTTCATTCCAACTCTTCACTCAATCCCTTGACCAGACTCAAGATTTATCCAATCATAAGTTAGCTTTCGTCCCTTGCCAAACTTTTCAGATTTCAATGTTCTTTCATTGTTACCCCTACTTCAATGGTTTCCATAGTATAGTGACTATCACGTTCGCCTCACACCCCCACTTGTCTTCTTAGTTTTTTATTTTTATGAAACATCTAGTAGTATGTACTCAATAAATTTTAAGTAAGTGAGTTACCATCTAATTTAATGACTTCTTTAGCCTCTTGTAATTCTTTAAGAGTTTGGGCTGTATGTAGGGATAGATTCTGTCACTGAGTAACATCACAACAGAAAACTTCTCATCAGCATACCACAGTGATTTCTCAGACCTCTGAAACAGTAAAAGCAGGATGTCCACTAGCTATAGCTTGGTTTTCTAACTGTTTTATGACAGCTAATTCTGGATTTCTTTGTGGACTATCTTCCTATTTACAGGTAAAAGATATATCTATATCTATATATATATGCAAATTATGTTTGTATATATGTATTTCATTTGCATTAGAAGAGACTGTCTTTGAGCAAGTGATACTTCCTCTTGGGGTCAAAGCAGCTAAGCAGAGATCTCTCTGACAGTTGTCTCACCGGCAGTGAGTGCCAAAGCAAAAGCCTTTCATGGCTGTTACCTCTGCCTCATGGTAGAGAGGATTGGTACTTTGCGATGTGAAAAAAAAAAAGAGCCTTGGGGGAAGGGTAGGCTAAACCTCAAGTAAATCCTAATGACTTCTTCAGATTTTTTTCTTTTCAGAGAGGATGACCTTCCCCCTAAATGTTCTTCTTCTGCCAAAGCATTTCACACGGAAATGTCCTCCTCAGAGAACAACACGCTGACCTCTTCCAATACCTACAACAGTCGATACTGGAACAACCAGCCAAAAGTCCATAGGAACACGGAGTCATTCAACCGCTTCAGCGACTTGCACCAGTCTTTCTCCCTCCACTCAGGCAACGCCAATATCTCATCCATCTATGCCAATGGGAGCCATCTGGTCCCGGGGCCACAGAGGACTCTGGTAGTGACAGCTAACAGAAGCTCATCACCACAGATCATGCCTAGGAACAATAGCTCAGTCAGCAGGAAGCCCCAGCCTCCACACATACACTCCTACACCATCAGCCAAGCCACACTGGAGCGAATCGGTGCAGTGCCTGTCATGGTGCCAGCCCAGAGTCGGGCAGGATCCCTGGTATAGGACACAATGAGATGTTGTACTCAGAAAAAAATAACTGGACTGCCTCTGTACAAGGGTGAGAGTGGGGTGGGCAAGTGCTGGGAAAGAGACACTTTCCTTATCATTCTGTTAGTAAAAGCACAAAAAGAAGGCAATGCTGTTACCTGGCCACCAAGATGAGTAACATGGACTGGAGTGCTCTCTCCTGAAGAATTGTTTCCCTGCCACAGATGTCCTGGGATTCTGTTCAGATAGCCACATCTCAAAGATGTGCCAAGCCAAGGCGAAAGATCTAAGAGCAGAATAGCACTTAAAACCCAAGCTGCAGCCCAGATAGCTGCTTCTTTAATTCATGCCTAACTTGAGAATTTTCAAGAGACTGAAGTGCCAGAAGAAATTTAAATAATAAAGTTATTTAAAATATAGGTATCTTTAGGAAAAACAGTGAGCAAATCTGTGATATCTTCTGCCCCTCCCATTTCCCTTCTGACTTGGGGGCTTCATGCTATAAATGTTTGATATTGATCTCAGCAGGGCTGGCTCTTTTAGTATAGAATGAAAACTTTGTACACAAACAAAATTCCATGGGAAATGGGGGAAAACAAAGGAAACTTGTTGGAAAAACTTCGTATTTATTCATCTCTTCCTGAACCATGAATTTCATATTTGGAATTTTACTATATTGACAGATTCTTGCCTGTCTGCCTTCTGTGATCTGTTACAGATCCATGGCAATTTCTGTTCATTATTTCCTGGGAAATATTTTCAAAGCAAAGCTTATTATTTTTACATACATGAGAGGCATAAGGCCAGGAAAGAAAAGACCCAACACCTTGTTCAGCATTTGTGTTTAGCGAGCCCAGGAGAGGGCGCTTACAGAAGTGCTAAACCATAAGGCTGGAAGCAGGCTGGCAGGTGTGAGGACCCTGGTCTTGCAGGGCAGCATGCAGAATGCAGGCCTCCAGGGCTCTTGTGTTGTGCTAGCAGGGGCCTCTTAGGGTGGGAAGCACCTGTTGCCTTTGGAAGGCAGACGTCACTATGTTATTACAGGAAGGGGTAGTTTGTTTCAGAATAATTTTTTTTTCTACAAACGATGAAACCAAGTGGGGTATCCACAGTGTTCACCTAGCAGGGTCTGCCCTATGCTTGACAGCTCAGGTTTGCCATTTGGTCCACTTCCTCTGACAACACTATGAAGTGATTCCTTTTGTGATTCATTCCCTTGCTTGACTGGCCTTGCAGGTTCCTTTAAAGGCCCCCTGTTCTACTTTGTTATGGAGATCTGGCTGTACTTGTGTTAGTGACTATCTTGCCTTAATCACACTTTAACCCATAAATGATTTCGTCCCACTTTCAGTCCCTGAACTATTTATAATACTTACCCTGAGGTTCAGTCTGAGCATCTTTCCCTCCCACCGGTGCACTTACTCACTTTCCCTCCAGGTTTTTGCTGCCTTCTCCTGCAAGCATATTTTTCCCAGAGAGTGGCCACCCAGTGTCTTCCCAGTTGTTCAGCTCAATGGGAACATAAGCTGCTGCAAACACTTCTTTCCACAAGGCCGCGCTCAGAACCTAACCACTGCACCCGTTCTTACGTTGATAAAAAGCTGAATTTATCTTAGCAGTACTTATTTTTTCCATTTGATCTTGACTTTGTAAAAAAATTTAAATAAATGAATGTCTATACTTTTTATAAAGAAAAGTGAAAATACTATGTCACAGAAAAGATACTTTTGGCTGTTGTTTAGAAAGCATTTATCTTACATTTCTTTATTCTTTCTAATTATCTAAACAATAAAAAGTTTGTTCATATAAAAGAAGTTTCATTAGTTATCATAATACTGATGGTTTTGTGAATTTTATTTACTGTGTCCTTTAATTTTCATGCAGTGTTTCATTGTGTTTAATCATACTCATGAGCATGTAGTATTTGAAAAATTACTTAACCTTTCTCTTACTGTTAGAAGTTCAAGTTGATGCAGTTCTGCACACATATGACTGAAGGAGTAATGATCCTCCTCACACATTGATCTGATTTTATGTTTCTCAGTCTGAGTGTTCATGAAGACTGGGTTCGTGCCTGCCCTTTCACTCATGGAACCTCTCTCCCTACCATAGTGCCTACTACGGTGTCGAGTATATAAATGACTGATAATGTCTAAGCGGAAGTTGCCACGCCAGACTATGGACATGCTTGTAGCTCTTGATATATATTGGATCGCACTTTGATAGAAGGAATGTAAAATATTATAATTTTTTTATTTTGAAATGTTTACATGCAGCTGTAAGAAATAACAGAGATTAAAGCTGCCCTTTACCTGATTTCTCCCAATGGTAACACCTTGTGTGACTTGTATAATTTTACAAATTAGCATAGTTACAATTGATCAACTTTGTTCAGATTTCAGCTCTTGGGCTTTCACATGGTGCACCTGTGTGCACATTTCATCATATGCCATTCTGTCATGTGTAGATTCATGTGACCATGATAGCATTTGACATTTAGTATGCCATGGGCTGGCCTTTCAGTCAATCCACTTTTCTCCTTAAACTTCCAATCCCCCCAAACCACCACTCTGTTCTCTATCTCTAATTCTGTCACTTTAAGAATACTGTATAAGTGGAATGATGTATGTAACCTTTGAGAAGTGGCTTTTTTTTCACTTGGGATAACCTACTAGAGATCCATCCAAGCTGTTGCATGTATCCATAGTTCTTTCCTCCTTATAGCTGGGTAATATTCCATGATATGGATGTACAAGAGTTCTTCTACTCGTTGAAAGATCTGTAGGACTTAGGAGTTGTTTCTCTAGTTTTTGGTGGTTATGAAAAAGCTGATGAAAACATGGATAGCTGGGTTTCTGTTTTACATTTCTTCTGGCAAATATCAGCAATCCAGTTACTCAGCTGCATTGGGCAGCATCAGTACTGTTTATTTAGCCATTTTGATAATGCATGTAATGATACCTCCTGTGGTTTTAATTTGCACCCTGCTGGCTAATGATGGCCCATATGTTTTTATGTGTTTGTCATCTCCGTATCTGTTTTGGTGAGATGTCTTTTCATGCCTTTTGCCTTTCATGCCATTTTCTAGATTATTTACTTTTTAAAATCTGTTTTTGCAGTTTAGTTTCGAAAGATATTTATATACTTTAAATGCAGCTTTTGAATATGTCGTTTAAAATATTTTCACCCAATTTGTAGTTTGTCTTTCCATTCTCTTTGTGGGTCTTTCACAGAGCAGAAGTTTTTACTTTCATAAGGTTCTGTGGGACACACGCCTGTAATCCCAGTTCCTGCACTTGGGAGGCTGAGGCAGGGAGACTGTGAGCTCTAGGCCAGCCTGAGTGACATAGTGAGATCTTGCTTCAAAAAAACTTGTTAATGAGGTCCAGTCTACCAATTATTTCTTTTATGGATTGAGCTCCTGAATTTGGGCCCTGAAGAGCTTTATGATTTTTTCCCCTAAAATTTTTATGGCTAATGTTTAATTTTGTGGTTTGTTTCAATTTTTTTAAATAATAGAGAAAGTTCAGATTCTAGATTATGTATTTTTGTATTGCTTATGGAAGACTATTTCCTGTCTGTCCTTCCTATAGTAAATGGCTTTGTATTTTTGAAAAATATTATTAAACATATTTATGTCTCTTTCTAAGTTCTCTAGCTGTTGTATGGATATTCATGAGATCTTACCACTAATATCATGTTTGCCACTGTAGCTTTTTAGGAAGCTCTAATAGCCAGTAAAATGGTTTTTGCCACTTGATTCTTTTATAGTTTTAATTATTTGAGGTCTAGTATCTATAAATTTTAGAAAAGTGATATGTCTACAAAACACTTTGCTCTTTTTATAGGACTTTTGTTGAACCGGTAGAGTAAGTCTGGGAAGAATATCTCTACTATGTTAAATCTTATAATTCATGGATAAGATCCATCTCTCCATTCATTAAGTTCTTTGATTTGTTTTACTAGTATTTGGTAGTTTCAAAATAAAGATATTTGTATGTATTCAGTTGGATTTATGACTAGTTATTTCATTTTTAAAGCAATCTTGAGCACCATGCTTTAAATTTTGTTTTAATACATTTGTTGCTAGAAAATTAAAATGTAATTATATTTGTGTGTAGGTTTTACAGCCTGGAACCTTACTAACTTCATTTGTTCTGAGATATCTTTTGTGTAGATTCCTTAAAATTGTCTACTTACATGATTGTGTCACTTAACGTATGGACATTGTTGTTTCTTCTTTAATCTGTGTGTCTTTTATTTCTTACTTTATTGCCATGGTTAGAAATTACTATGTAAAATAAAAGTGATGAGTGTGATATCCTTCTTTTATTCCCAGGGTTACAGGGGAAAGGATTTGCTTTTGATTAGTATATATTGTGTTAGCTATACATGTTTTATATCAGCTAAGAAAGTTGTATTATTTCTAGTTTTGTGTTTCTTTTTCTTTTTTAAGTCATGCATGGCTATCCAGTTTTGTCAAATATTTTATTCTGTATCATTTGATTTTCATTCTTTAGCTTGTTGATAAGCTAGGTTTCATTGATGGATTTTCAAATACTGAAGCAGTTTTGCATACCTGGTTTAAATCCCAATTGGTCAGGGTATATAATTATTGTGAAGTTGATTTACAATAATATGAATGCATTCGACTTTCTAGAATTATGTTAAGGATTTTTATTTGTAAATTCATGGAATTCTCCAATGAAATAATCTGAACCTAAAGATTGCATTTTTCAGCTGCTTTAGGTTCTTCAGTAGTTAGAAGACTAGTCAAGCTGCTGCTTTCCTCTTTAGTGAGGCTTCTTAGTTTGTGTTTTTTGAGATATTGATCCATTTTTCTAGGTTGTCAATTTTATGAGCATGAAGTTATTTCTTTCCTTCTTTTAGTAGGAGCAAGCTCTGTAGTGATATCCCTGTTTAATTCTTCATAATTTGTGCTTTCCACAGTTTTCATTTTTGTTAGTCTTTCTAGAAAATTGTCGATTTTATTGACTTTTGTCAGGAGAACAGCTTTTTGTTTCTTTAAAAGTTCCCACATTATTCTTTTTTTTTTTTTAGCTTTTATTGTTTCCTATCTTAAATTGTTCTAAATTTTATTTTTCTTCTTGAAGTGGAAACATAGATTATTGATTTGAAACTATTGCTCTCTTCTAATGTAAATAGTTATGGCAGTAGTTTCACACCCATGACTACTTTAACATGCTATATTTTCATTTTTATTAACTTTTAAAACTTTTATATGTTATTTAGAAAGGTATTATTTAATTTCCTAGTTATTTACATTTTTATTGTCTTTCTGGTAATGTCTGGATTGATGTCATTATCATAAAAATATTCAATATGATTTTAATTTTTTAAATTAAGATATGTTTCATGACCTTTCAAGGGTTTTCA